AAGCCACCAGGTCCGGGACTCGAACTGCGTTCGGCTACATGGGAGTCCAGCGACACAGCCATTATGCTAACTGCTGGTCCCAGAACCAGTTACCCGCTTTCTACAGGCACATGCTCTTGGGCAAGTTCTTTAACAAAAAAATCTCCGGGCCTCAAGTTTCCTTTCGTGGCAACAGGGGACAGGAATCCTTAGTGATCTTTGAATCTCCTGTTCCTCGGATCCCATGAAAGAATCCACGCCGAGCACCAAATGCCCAGCGGTGCTCAAACGTCGTCAGCCGCTCTTCTTCCTGTGATCACCGCCACTTCCTGCTCAGCCTTTTGGTGTTTACTTTTATCCTTTTGAACCCAGGGACAGCTGAGTGGCGTTTTTTTTTTTAACCAGAGGGCATGTGTGCTTGCCAGAGAAAGAGAAGCAGAGGGTTCCCCTCCTGGGATCTTGGGCGCACACGCACACACACCCAGTGTGATTTTCAAGCCGCCAGGTCTGGGGCTCAAATCACTATCGGCCGTGTGGGAGTCCAGCACCGTAATCGCTATGCCACCTGCTGGCCCCGGGATCCAGTTCCCTTAACCACCAGGCCATGGGCCGTTAAAGGCTGACTCACTTGCTGGCCTGCTTGGGTCTAGGACAGGGATCCAGGAAGCTGGCTACCAGGGCTCTGTTTTCTACTGAGAACATGTCAGTCCCCTGCTGCCAAACGGCCTCTCTCTGTCTGACTCTAGGGGGGTAGCCAGAAAGGAACATCCTCCTGGGGCCCACGTGCAGTCCCGGAGTGGACGAGGACACTGTAGGAACAGCAGGACCTGGAAGGGCGTCCCTGGAGCTGAGGCCCTTGTCCGAGCATCTCAGGGCCGGGTGTGCCCGGGCAGACCCTCCCGGCACCACGGCCTTCAGACAGCAGCTATCTCTGCACCGTCTCTCTAGACAGGGAGGTTTCTCCTGAGAGCTCCCACCCACCCCCAAACCCAACCCCTCGCGGCTGGCGGGAGGCAGGGACTCTCTCACTGGTTCACGAGCAGGTAGACTTGCACACGCTCCCTAGCAGGGTGTTCTGAGACACACGTGCACTGAGCCCCGCCCCTGTGTCCCAGGACTCTCCTAGGAGGTAGGGATGGAGCGATGCCCACCCGGTCTCAGCCCTCGGGGAGGTGACCCTCCCAGCCCTGGAGAGAAGAGGAGCTATGAGTAAGAAAAAGGCGTGAACAGGGAAACACAGAGCCAGGAAGAAAATCAAACAGGAAGTGCTTAATAGCACTTGCGTGGGGAGCACCAGCA